TTTGCTTTGTATTATTGTGTCTGTATAAATACAAGCACAATAACACTGTGTTTCTAACTTCCACTTGTTCTGTGCCAGTATACAGAAAAGCAATTGACTTTTGCATATTAACCTTGTATCCTGCAATGCTGTTATAACTATTTGTTAGTTTTAAGAGTTTTTTCTGATTTTCTACATAAATGATCAAATGAACAAAGACAGTTTTATTTCTTCTTTTCCAATCTATATATCTTTTCTTTCTGTTTCTTCACTTATTGTACTAGCTAGGACTTCCAGTGCAATATAAAAAGAAATATATATAATGACGGCTGTCCACCGTATGTGCCTGTAATCCCAGCTACTCGGGAGGCTGAGGTAGGAGGATTGCTTGATTGATTCTTTTAATGCCCCTGGCATCTGTATTGATGTTCCCTCTGTCATTTTTCATATTAGTAATTTGTGTACTCCGTACTTTTGCCTTAAACAGTGGTTCTCAATCTTCCTAATGCCGCAGCCCTTTAATACCAGTTCCTGTGGGTTGCAACCCATAGGTTGAGAACTCCTGCCTTAAAGGCTTATCAATTTTATTGATCTTTTCAAATACTCAAAATTTTGTTTTATTCATATTCTCTAATTCTCTAATGAGTTGCTGTTTTCAGTTTCATTAATTTGTAATCTTATTTTTAATGTTTCTTCTATTTAATTTTGTTCTTTTTTCAGTTTCCGGAGGCAGGAGCTTAGCTGATTATTAGATCTTCTCTAACATGTGCATTCTCTCTAAGTACTGTTTTTGCTATATCCCACAAATTTTGGTAAGTTGTAATTTCATTTAGTTCAAAACACTTTCAAATTTCTCATGAGATGTCTTCTGTAGCCCACGTGTTATTCAGATGTGTATTGTTTAATCTCTAAGAATCTGGGGATTTTTCAGCTTCCTTTCTGTAATTGATTTCTTGTTTAGTTCAACCCACAGACATTGCCTGACTTCTATTCTCTCAAATCTGTTAACGGGTGTCTTATGACCTACAATGTGATTTATTTGAAATCACACTTTTTAGTTTGTGTAATATCCAGATTTTTCTTAAGTATTTACACATCTGTACCCATAGGAAAATACAGTTTTGTTTTAAAGGCTTTCTTTTTTCCCCCCTAAACAAAGTCATGCTGTATGTATTGTTCTGCAACTTGCAGTTTTATACCTAAATAATCTTTTCACATGAGGCTATTGTATTCAGTATGTGCAGTTTTCCACAGTTAAAATGAACCATAATTAATATAACCACTTGCCTATAAATGGGCTTTTAAGATCACTTTCTATCATTACTACATACATACAATGCTTTAGTTTCTGTGTAAATACACTGTGCCCCTGTCTAAGTGTTTAAGATAAACTCCTAAAAGTGAAAGAGCTAGGTCAAAAGCATAAGCACTTACATGAAACCAAATTCAATTTAATTTTCAATTTCCCTAATTACTAGTAAGGATGAGCAGCTTTTATATATTCATTGCATGTTTGTATTACCTTTTGATTTTCCTGCCCACTTTTTCCTACTGATTTGAGTTTTACTTATTCATTTGTAGGCGCTCTTTATACATGCTATGGACATTGATTCTTTACTTAAGTATCTGTCATGGTTTAGATATATGACCCCCTTCAATCCTTCTGTAGAAATTTGATTCCCAGTGTTGAAGGTGGGGCTTAATGGAAGGTGTTTTGGGTCATGGGGGTAGAGCCCTCAGGAATGAATGCTTGTGGGTGTGTGTGTGCTGGTGAGTGAATGAGTGCTTGCTTTATTAGCTTGGCACTTCTCCCCCTCTCTTGCCATGTGCTCACTGCACTTTCCCTGCCTGCTCCCACTTGCTTCCCATCCTGAGTAGAAGCAGCCCGAGGCCCTCATCAGAGGCAGATGATGGGACCATGTTTCTTGTATAGCTTGTAGAACTGTAAGCTGAATTAACCGCAGATCTCTTTTCTTTATAAAATACCCAGCCTCAGATATCCCTTTATAGGAACAAACAAACAAACAAAAACCAGACTAAGATAGTATCAAACATTTCCAATTTATTATAGTTACTTTTTTTTTTTTATAATGAGAAGGATCTTTTGTTGTATGGAATTTACTACTTTTAATTTGTTAAATCTGTTAAGATAAAACTAAATGAGACACACGGTAGGGAGATAGGTATCTAAGGTAATTTTTTCCCCTGACAGCCAATTGCTGTAATGTCACTTATCACAATAAACCAAATGGCACCTTCATCATTAATTCCCGTACTGTATGGCCCGAAAGATTCTTTGTTTCATCAACCTATTTGTCTATTCTTTTTCAGGTATTTTCATGTTAAATTTTAGATAAAGCTTTTAAAGGTAGATTGGACTACAGAGAGGAATGTAGCAATCAAGTTTAACAGAAGAATATAGAATATAGTTCGGCAGGGTATCTATCTATCAACAGATAAATCATTTTCCACTATTCCTTACTTTCCTTACTTTAACAATGTCTGCTCTCCATGAAACACAAAAATACCTGTAAAACTAAAAGTTTTAGGTGTTAAAGGTCATCTCAGCTCTTAATTTTAGGCCTTACAACTCATCTGCTTTTGCTAAAACTAGAAAAAGTGGACTAAATTTAAAGTAACTCAGACACTCAACTGTAAGTAAACAACATACTACATTTAAATATATACTAAACACAGTTCCCAGTGATTGAAGACGTGACTACCTTATCAGAAAAGACTGAGTGCACTGTGCTCCAACCCAGCACATTCTTCTAATCTCTTCATTACCCTAACTTTTTTTTTAGACTTTGAACCAAATGAAGATAAATCTCTCACCATCAGACCAGAAGTCAACAGAGTACAGAATTAAACAAACAAAATTTACACAATTCATATTATGTTCAAAGTGACATTACCAATCCCCATGCTAGGGACCATGTTGGGCATTTTATTATTTTCAGAGTGAAATGAGCATATGATTTAAAAATTAGGGCAGAAGTTAAGTTTATACCATAGGCAAAGTCATCTGCCCTGCCCCTCTCTGCCACATTCCAAATTATTTTTGCTTTTTGTTGTTTTCTAGATTACTTCCCTAACCCTAATTCATAAGCTTATTCTACTGTTTCTTATCAATTTTTAGATATTGTTTATTGACATGATACTATGAAAAATACGAGTTTAGCTCACTTACACTATTTTTTCCTTCTCCCTTGGTCTATCTCCTCCCATTTTTATTAGTTCTTTTAATTCCCCTAGTTACTTACTTTTATATTCTATTTTTCATTTTATCAACTTTAGAAAAAAATCTCCGGCATTCCACTTCTGGACACTCCCAATTGACAACTTTCATCCATATATTTCACCTCTCAATTTTCAGAACATATCTCTACCTTCACTTGTTAGTGTTAATGTTTATATTCTGTCTTGAATGAAGTATTCTGGGTTTTGTGATAAACCTTTTGCCATCTGAAGGAGAATATTCTTTGTGTCTAAGTCAAATTAAATTATTTTCTTTTTATTTAACAATTCTATTGTTTAAAATCATGGCATATTTTTGTTTGTTTTCAAATTGTAATTTGTTTTATATTTTTAATGTCTTCTTGGATCTTTTAGTTTTTGTTTTTTTTTTCCTTGCTGGAAGAAGGATTCTGTGGCTTATCTGTCTTTTGTATTCTTCTTCCATATTAAATGGACTCTACTGATTTTTCTTAAAGGAGGGGAGTTCTTTGATTCCCTGTTAGAATTTCAGAGCATATGTTCCCAAGCTTTTGGAAAGGTGTCGCACAATTTTCTCGCTTTAGACTATTTCAGGTTAACTTTCCCATTTCTTATACCTTGTATTTCTCTTTCTCTTGATAATTACCTTTATCTTAATGGAATGTATCCTAAAGTAAGTTCCTTAAAAAAAGAATGTGCTAGGTAAAGTTTCACATATTTAAAAGTATTTATTTTGTCTCCACACTTGACTGACAATTTGGTTAGGTAGAGAATTTCAGGGTTTTGATTCTAGCTGTAGACTAAGGATTAATGATTCTTCCTCCTGAAACTACATTAAAATGATAAGGCAATATTAAAGGAAATAAATCTATAAAATTAAAAAAAGAGAGAAGAGAGTAAAAAATTAAAAAGGGAGAATTGTGAAGAGATTTAAAGTACATATCCAGAAAATTATGGAACAAACTGTCTAGAAAGTGCGAGGACTGACAAGGTAGGTATGGTCTCTATCCTACCACTTCCCCCAAAGGATCTCCTTATTCCATGGCTGACAGGTAGGCAGGGAAGCTATGGCCAGTTCCTACTTGTATAGAGAGAACAGAAAAATTAAGTGGGAAAATACACCTGCACCCATAATATCAGAGGAAATTCAAACAACAGTTACCAAAAATAATCAATCAAGGTCTTCACTGTAAATATAAAATAGGACTAAATCTCATTAGACATAAGAAAGAAAAACTGTAAATGAGGAAGACCAATATAAATACAATCTTGATTTTGGGTAAAAGAGTGAAGTCAGAAAAGTAGTAAAAATTATAATTAGCAAACCAATCACCTATGAAAGCAAGCAAGCAAGCAAGCAAGCAACCAAAATAATTAACCTCGGAGATTTTTATTTTCAACAATGGTGAGTTCCTTTCTTTTTAGGTAATCTAATAACTTAATAAAGGTAAGGAAGATCACAGTCACACACACAGTGATCTTGAGTTACTATAATCCAGCATGAACTTCCATGATAGTTTTGGCAATGTTTGTGCCACATATTCAGAATACAAAAACAAAACCAAACAAAAAGACTGTAACAAAGGGAACACCTTGGATTTCAATATTTTTAATAATATCAAATTATCCTGGTTCATTTGAGAATCCAATAAATATAGTGTTTAATAAAATTTATTTCTAATTACCTAAAAACTCAAGTTTAAATGAGAACATTTAAATATATAGCACTCCCAAGGTAAAATTACAAAATAACACCCCAAAACAGCAGATATAATAATATCTTACAAAACAGTTAGCTGACTTACCCTGGGAAATTGTATTGAAAAGTGTGGGATCAATGGCAGGAATAGTCTGTGGAGTAGGCTGGATAGTACTGCTTGCTACACCTGCAAATCAGAAAAGTGTGTTACATCTTTTAATTATATATTAGGAAAGTGCTTAAAGGATCATGGGGGAATTTCATTATTTCATTTAACTATATTCTTAAAACATTAATGGATTGTAAATGCATACACTTACTTGATGGTAGAGGTTGGTAGAGAAAATATGCAGGAAAATATTTATGAATGTTTGCATACATGTATTGGCTAGACATTTCCTAATATGTATTTTGTTTGTCTAATGCTTCAATTTATTTCTCAATTACAGCTTACCAAATATCTGCAGAAATAAAAGATTTCTCTCCTACTTTTTAATTTTTTAGTCAAATAATTTTGGAAACAGAGTGGGACACAATTATGATTTAGTTTAACTTAAAGGATGAGTCTTCTTTCATCACTGTGCATGTAATTACAAATTATACATTCCACATTTTAACATTTTTTAATGTTAATGTTTTCAAATGTTTTAACATTTGAAATTTGATATTTTTATAAATCCAATAAGCAATCAGCTTAGTTTGACTTTGCGTCAGCACTTGTCAAAACTGTTAAGTTTAGTAAGTAAGCATTCTCAATTAATGGTAAGGAATATAGCGTTGAGGATTATTAATCATCTAAAAAAATAACAGAAAGTGTTGAAACATTACAAAACAAAACCTTAAATGATTCAATCAGCAGGGAATGCAAAAGGAGAAGAAAAGCTGATTACTCCCAATCAATGGAGTTACTCCCCCCCAACCAACAGGGTTCATTTAGACCAAACTAATGGTGTACACCAACCTAATAGTTACTGATGTAACTAATAGGTTACATTGGAATAGGTGAATTGTAGTAAGAGTAAAGTGGGAAAGACATCAGATAAAGTGGGAAAGACATCAGATAAGGAAAAGGGAACAGAAGAAAGGGTGAAAAGAAAGTGGGAAGTTTCTGGGGGGATAAAAACATATCTAACAATTCTAGAATGTTGGTTTCACAAAAAATCATTTCAGTTCTAAAATATAGTGTTTCTGGTATGAAATTCTGACTTTCATGAACTTTCTCATCCCCACATAAGGGAAAACATAGTTTAAATAAACACTATTTTACTTCATTTAATTTTGTTTTAGGGCAAACTAGTTTCATTTTACAGCCTTTGAACTATTACAAGTAATGAAAATCTTATTTTTTAAATAAAAATTGAACTAATATAATTTTTAAAAGTACAAAGGAATACATATGAAAAGTGAAGTACAAATTTTAAATAGTACAAAAAAGGATAAACGTGAAAGCTTGCCCTTTATTCCTACATTCAACTACTTCAAGGTCATTACCAGCTTCTCAGACACTCTTCTGTTCACATAAAAACATGTGAGCCCGCTCCGATGTCTCTACTTATCAATGCTGTGCTTTGCTAAGAAATTTGTGTTTTGAAATTTAAAAATCATAATCCCCTAGAAGGCATGCTTTGTTGTGTGTGCATTTTAGAAATGGCAGTAAGTTCTGCATACTGTATTATTCTGTGCATTTTTCCCTGGCTTTGTCATATCAACAATTCCAGATTACTTCATATAGATGCCTTGTTCTTTTTAATGGCTACATAGTGTGCTCCATGCTATGCATGTATCACACTTTATAAAGCAATACATTACTGATGAGCACTTATTTCTAATCTTTTGCTACTATTGATGATACTATAGTGAATATTCTTATATACAGTGCATGCACGAATATATTTACAGAAAAATTAATAGAAGCATAATTACAAAGTTAGGACACATACAAATTTTAAATCAACTAATTCAATGACTATTTTTTGCTTGATTTTTTAAGTGCTAACCAAATATATTACTGTAAACATTTGACATAATTTTCTCCAAAAAACTTGCTAAACACTATAAGGCACATAAGTATATAATATTTAAATAAGAGGGCAGAATGTAAGATCTGAGAGGATTCTTCAGAGACCACTTAGTTAAGTCTGGTGCTTTAAAGCAGCTGTACCTGAAACTTATGCTGATAATTACATATATTCTTCATATAGGGCTTTATAAAAAAGTAAGAGTATAACATTTTCATAGTTCAATCTATCATTGCTATTCCTAACTAAGAAATTTCAATTTTGCCTAAATTAAAATGCTCCCAACCAACCTCTCTCTCTAGGGAAAAGGCATGGTTTTTGGTCAACAACCCGCTTTAACTCTTAGATGTTTATTTGCTTATCTCCATATGATTGACAGGCAATACTAATAAGAACAAAACATAATTTATAGGGAGAACATATTTAGTTATGTAGTAAACTTTAGAAATGTTAGTTTGCATTTTATTAAGTATTGTGGTTAGTCATTCCACTAAGCTTTGGACTGACTACAAGTTCAACATGCCTCAGGCAGTATGGTCAGAGATGCTGCTTTGCGTTTGTCTTGAAGTACCAAGGCAGATCTGTCCTAAACACATTCCCACTGCAGGCTAAAGTACTGGCTCAGCACAATCTCATAAATACCTGTTAAGCTAGTAAAAGGGTTTTAGTTTATGCTATATATTTGTTTTCTGAGATGCTCAGATTTAGTTATTTTTCCTTCTTTTTTGACATGGATAGATTCTGTCAACTTACACATGGGTTCAAGACCCCTAGACTATAATACTATACATGTTGGAATAGTATCATAATAAAAATATTTCTGGGGAAAGCAGAACTGTTTTAGAAATTCTTTCTATTGTTCAACAACAAAGAAGTGTTAACAATAACTTCTGGGCTGGGCACAGTGGCTCACGCCTGTATTTCTAACACTCTGGGAGGCCGAAGTGAGTGGAGTACTTGATGAGCTCAGGTGTTCGAGACCAGTCTGAGCCAGAGCAAGAGCCTGTCTCTAAACCTAGCTGGGTGTTGTGGTGGATGCCTATAGTCCCAGCTGCTTGGGAAGCTGAGGCATACATCAAGAGGATTGCTTGAGCCCAAGAGTTTGAGGTTACTGTGACTATGATGGACTATACTGAGGATGACAAAGTGAGACTCTGTCTCACCCCCACCCCCAAACAAAAACAGTAACTTCTGGTTAACTTCTATGTAGATGGTTATACAGTATATTAGATGGGATTAATACAAAGAATGCAATATAAGATTTCTAATTAAATACTAAATCGTTCTATTAACTAAATGGCATGGAGTCTGAAAAAGGAGGTTGTGAGTGCTGGTTATAAAACTAGAGAAGATTGTTCACAAAGTGTAATTCAACACAAGCCTTGAAGAAAGTAGCATTTGGAGAGGCCTCGAAAAAGGGAGATAGACATGTTACCTACAAGGAACAGCAAAGCCAAAGTTAAAAAAAAAAAGGACTGAGTTCAGTAAAACCTCAGTGTAATCATGGGAGTCAGCATTCAAAGAAATGTGTAAGTCCCAGTAGCAACAGAATATTTAACCCTAATAGAAGAACTCAAGGCAGTAGATGGTCCTTCTGACACAGTAACACATCTCAGATTTGGATCTATACATGGCTGAGCTGCATTTACAGTGAAAAGGCTAGCATTAATTTTAAAATAAATGTTATTTATTTTTATTTATCTGTTATTTAATATGATTAGATTTATTACTAAGGTCACCTGCTATAATATTTAAGGACCGTAGAAAGCTTATGATTTATGAGAAAGAAACAAAAAAACTACACTGTATCACCTACATGTGATATTTACACAGCTCTTAAAAGCACAAGAAGCAAACACTTAGTCTGTTTAAACAATCACTATCCCTGTCCTCATTGAACCCCCTTTGCTTTTTTGTGGAAGAACTAAAAACTGTAAATTAGTACACACTATTCTTTTCAGCTATCTTAAGGATTTCCCTTTGATAAAAGTGCATCCTGGACCTTTATGTGAGAGAAAGTAAATCATTCTTAAAGTAAGTAAGAGGGGAAACATCTGCTATATTTATGTAAACCAAAAATGTTATTTTGTTTTTTATTAGGCAACTATGAACTGTTTTTTTTTTTTTATTGTTTCAAATATAATAGAAAAAAAAATCTGCGGCTAAGAGGAGGAGACTCCAACACCTCAAATCAATCTTAAGGGCAAACAGACTATCAGGAAAGTAGGTTTAGACTCGATAGGATTTTACTTCCTTGGAAGGAGGGATATAGAAGGGAAGTGGCCAAAACACGAAGTCAAGAAAACCTGGGATTCAAATTGTGGTTCTGTCACTTACTAGGTATGCTCGTTTTCCTAGGATAATTGCTTACTGTCTTTGGAGTTTGTAAATTAGAGACAGCAATATTTAATTTAGTTGCTGTAAGAATAAGTGTAAATCTGCTGACAATTATTTACATGCTAAGTCTGGAAGAATATATACAATAGAAAAGGATCTCATCCTACAAAAGTTGTAAGGATTTTGGGTGGTGCCTGTGGCTCAAAGGAGTAGGGCACTGGCCCCATATGCCGGAGGTGGTGAGTTCAAACCCAGCCCCGCCAAAAACTGCCAAAAAAAAAAAAAAAAAAAGAAAGAAAGAAAAAGTTGTAAGGATTTTTTTAGTTTTATTCCCTGTTCTGAGGCATAAAAGTGAGAAAACAAGAGGCTCACGTGCCAAAAAAACTTCCCAACAGAATATAATCTCTTAGTATCTTTGTCATGAAAAATGTATTATAACCAGGAGATATTGTTATTTGAACATTTGAAACTACCAATATTTTGTCATTTTTCTTATACAAAATTAGAATCAGCAATTTCATATGGATCAATCTAATACAGCTCTTCTACTAAAGTGTTTCTCTTTCATATATTCATTGTATGTCTATACAGTATTTTTGTACACATAAATAAATGTATTTGTGTATGTGTCCATACCACAACTCTGTCCTAAGGTATGTTGCCTGAAGCAGTACTCCGTGAGAAGGGCAGCCTTTCTATAATGTTAACATCCTACCCTTAGGTGTAACCAGTCTCTTGATTCACAAAACAATTTTTTAAGTGTTAATTAACTTACCCTCTCTTTTTTTGGCAAAGAGACAGGAAGGAAGAAGGAAAAGGAAAGGAAGCTAATTTGCTGAACACTGATTTTTTGCTGGACATAGTACTACTTCAAGTTTTGTATCTCTCCCCCTTTAAGAATTTAAATAATCATAAGTAGGTATGATTAATTTTATGTCAAACTAGAGGAAAAACCTAAGTCAAGAGAAGTTGAATTTGTAGTTTAGCAAGGGACAGAAAGTAACAGTCAATACTATTTGATTACAAAATGCATTTTCCCCCATGGCCCCAGCATGAGAATGCCTATGTCTGGGTCTCTTGACCTCACTGTTTAAACTTTCCAGCATAATGTGAACAGTATTCATCTAGGGCAAACACACCTAAGTAGCTGGTTTTGCTTACATTATTCCACAATGGAAATACTGAATGTTTCTAAAATACAATAAAATATTTAAAACAGGGTGCCATGAAATTTTACTTACAAAACAAATTCAAATTGGTTTGTCTATTAATATCATTACATAGGACATAAAACATTGAAGTGTCAGGGTAAAATAGACACAAAGGATATCAGTGCTAAATTATCATCAGTAATCCTTAAAGACAAAATATTAGCAATATGTGCAGGCAATATAAACATGAAAGTTTTAAAACAGGAAGAGACTAATTAGAATTGCCACTACAATGGTAAAAACAGAAAACTTTTTAATGTAAATTCAAATCACACAAAATAACCTACATGGTACAATAAGGCTGACAACTAAATGTCAATGAAATAATAGTGTGTAACATAACGGAGGCCATTACCAATCAGAGCTCAAAGGATGACCCTTATTCCATTAATCAAATATTTTGAGATGTTTGTAAAGTTTAGTACTCGTAGGTTACCCTTCCACTGGGATAAAAGTAAATTTTTAAGAACAATTCCTGAAAAAACTACAAAAAATTAAATGTAATATTCAAATAATCACTGCTAACGCCCCTCTATTTAGAAGGAAGGATGATAGCTTATCAAGAATACACGTAAATGAAAGAGCACTTCTAATTCTGTGGAAGCGTCTTTCTCTACCGACATTGATTACTAGAGACTCGTTTCATCAGATTGTTTTTTTTTTTAAGGAAATGCTCCCATACATTATCAATTTATTCAAAGATAACAGATATCCTGTCCCTGTTTTTTTCTTTTTTTTAAATTTCATACATTTGTAAGGTTAAAAAAAAATAACCTAAACCTTTCCTTTCACTTGTCTGGGTTACACTGTTAGTGACATTCTACACCTCAAAAGTGCCCCCCATCATTAATAATACCCATGTCAGGCCAAGACAAGGCTCCGCAGGGAATAATGCAGACAAATTTATTCTTACCATCACAGTGGGACGTTGACCTATGTAACCCTACGCATCTCAGTGCTACTCTTAAACAACAGTGAAGGGGAAAGGAAGGAAAGTGGAGGAAAAAGAACAGCAATATACACAAAAACACAGACACTATTATTAAAGAAATATAAGGTTAACTGTCATCGATACAGATAAATATTTGTCATTTCTTAAAAAATTATCATATTAAAACTTTCATTAAAGAATTTAATGTTCATTAGTGGGTTCAATAAAAGTTTAAGGGCCTTATTATCTTTATGACCATTATTAATGAAGCATAAATATGATAAGTAGTACAAGGGAAAGTCACGGATGGTTCAGTTTCAGTTTCCTACCTGTGCTGTGAGGCACTTCTGCTGGTGTGTTAGCTGGAGCGTGTGCACCGGGAGGAATCTGAATTCCCGTGTAGTTGCCCGCTGGCATGGTGCTTGGGTCGTAAGTTGAAGATGACGATGGCTGAGGGGGCTGAGTGGGCAGAGAGGCTGCTCCAGCATCTTCATTTTCTTCAGCGTCTATTACATGACATATACATGATATTAAAGTAGGAATTTTGAAATACAAATGCCAGGTACTCTTATTTTGCTATACATATGACAATTGAAACCTTCAAATCCAATTATTTTTAAAATGACTTGGGAGCGTCTTAAAAGTTAAACATGTTAACACAACAATTCTTAAAACTTTAATTAAAGAATTTAACGTTTATTAGTGGGTTCAACAAAAGTTTAAGGGCCTTATTATTCAGCCAGAGCAATGTAATAATATGCTGTATATTCACATAAAACATGTGAAATATGCCTAAAAAGCACACGTAATTCACTGTTCAAGCAGATTTATTCTTAAACTGCAAACAATGACAACGTCCATTAGCAGGTGGACTGCGGTTAAACTGCGGTCTAACCATCCAATGAACACCACTGAGCAGTAAGGAGGAATGGCCTGCTGACACACAAGTGAGGGGGACTCTCACAGAGAGCAGCTGAGAGAGATTTGCTGGGCACCAAGAATATTGCATGGCTCCATTAAACCAAGTTCTAGAACAGGCAAACCTAATTCACAGTTTAAAAAACAAAGGAAGTCAGAAATGTAGTTGCCTTTCAAGGTGGTATGGACTTGGAGTGGGAGGTAATTTTTTAGGGTAACAGAAATATTAGAGAGGGGTGGGTATTAAAGTCATTGAATTACACCCTTAAGAGGTATGCATTTCAATGTATAAAGCCTTTATATCAAAACAGAAACACCAAAGATAAAAAACTAAACAAAAACTTTTGCATTTTACAGTGATATGGAATACTGATTCGGACTCTCTTATCTGTGTTCTTTAGACATCAGCAAATGAATGAACTGATGCTAGTAGGAGCTAGGCTTCTCAGTGTTGCTGAATGAATGAATATATGTATTGTATTAGGGTTCTCCAGAGAGGGAGAACTAATAGAGTATATTAAATACACCTAGATAAGAGATATGTAGACATGGTTCTACTGAGAGGGGATTTATTAGGGGAACTGACTTACACAATTATGGAGGCTAAGAACTCCCACTATAGGCCATCACAAGCTGGAGCCCCAGGCATGCTGCTAGCATGGCTAAGTTTAAGTCTAAAAGCCTCAGAGCTAGGGAAGCTGAGGGTGTGATTCTCAGTCTGAGGCCTGAGAACACAGAATGGAAGGATCACTGGAGTAAGTTCTGAAGTTCCAAGGCCGGAGAGTCTGGAGTTCTGATGGCCAATTTATAATTTCCAACTGACCTTAAGGAGGAGGAGAGTGTTCCAGCTCTAGGAGATGGCAAGAGAAGAAATCTATTTCTTTCCTTTTATGTTCTGTTTGGGCTGACGGCACCCGCCCAAATTGAAGGTACATCTTTCCCACCCAGTCCACTGACTCAAAGGCCAATCTCCTCTGGAAATTCCCTCACAGACATACCCTAGAAGCAACGTTTTACCAGTTTCCTATGTCTTCCTTAATCCAGGCAAGCTGACCCCAAAATTAACCATCCCAAGTCCAACCTCGTCAACCTAACAGCCAGAAGCATCTCCTTCAACCATGCTTAATCTCTAAATAAAGACAGTGACAAGGTTAGAGATCTGCCTTACATGGTACAATTATCTTGCCTACAACCAAAAATACCCTATTCCTTTTCCTAGAAGGGGAGGTAAAGTCCTTAGGTGATGTTTACTACTCTCCTGATTATCTCATAACTTGAATACTATGATGCAAAATAAACAGTTTAAGAAACCGATATAAAGTCAATAAATATATCTTTAGTTACATGATAATGAGAAGAATGAAAACAAAATATTTGGTTAACATGTGTGTATATATATACACACAAACATTAACAAAACACAAAACACTCATAACAATCGTAGTCCTCATTTCTGCAACCAGTCACATGGCCAGAGCTGTTATCTGTAACTACCAGCTTCCACTACCCATTCTGTATGACCTATGTCTTCAGCAAGCACATAAGCTGGTCATGATTCTTTACCTGGCACATGATCCAAACCTTCATTCCTGAAAGGTCTGAAGCATTCATAGTTTCCAACTCACCTTAATCATGGGGTATGGTAATACTAAAACATCCTAAGAGATCACTTATATTTCAGACATCCTCTCACTTCTGAGGTAGAGCAGCAGTCCAATTTTCCTTTAGCATTCTTGATCAATCACCCCAGCCAACACCGTAATTCCATTCTTAGCCTGTTGACTCAGAGGCATGAGGAGCCCAAAGTAGCTGGGTGGCAGTGTGAACTTCCAGTTCAGTGAGATCACAGCTGTGTCTCCCAGTGGAAGCATTCCTTCCTCTGGAACTAAGACCTCTAGGCTAGCAGAGCACGAAGTTGTGGAAACAGGAAGCAAAATTTCGCCAGTCAGTCCCTGGGGCTAATGGTAAGCAGTGCCATTCCCTTTTCTAGCCCTTGGTTCCTGGACCTGTGAATCTTGGCTATGGGAGAAATAGTACCATATATATTGTATGCTAATTCAGAGCATATAGAGCCTTCTGGAGAACCTTACCCCAGCCCTGCCAAATATTGCCACCTATCTGGTGCTGTAACTAAAACTTCAAAAGGTCAATCCACTGTTTTATCAAGCTGGTTGCTTCAGGATGCTAGAGAACTTGGCAAGACCAGTGAATTCATGAGCATAAAAGTTCACTGTCCCACTTTAGCTGTGGTATAAGCTTCTTGCTTAGAAGCAATGCTGTATGAAATACCGTGATGGTGGGGAAGACATTCCGTAAGTCCAGGGCTAGTAGTTTTGGCAGAAGCCCTATGTGCAGGGAAGGCAAATTGATATCCAGAGTGAGTATCTATTCCAGTAAGGACAAAACACTGCCCTTTCCATGATGGAAGTGGTCCAATATAATCAACCTGCTGCTGTCTTCAGGGAACACTGCCACATCTAGGGCTCAGTGTGGGGTTCTGTGGCTCGCAGCTGAACTCTAAGAGCTGGCACACAACCAGTTCAGGGGAGTGGAAACCCACGTTGCTGAGCCCATGGATCACCGACCATCATCTCCACCCCCATGGTTACTCTGTTCATGACCCCATTAGGGAATGGCAGGGGTGGCTAGGGAAAGGGAGTGACTATATCCACAGAACAGGTCATCCTGTCACTTGATTATTAAAGTCTTCCTCTGTTGAGGGTATCCTTTGGTGAGTGCTGCCATGGGACACAAACATACTCATACCTTTCACCTAGAGTCAATCTATCTACCTCTTACCCAAATTTGTTGGCAATTTTACAGTCAGGTTCATCCCAAGTCCCTGTCTGTATGGCCACTTCATTGGTTACTGTCCATGAATTGGCACATAATTGCATGTCTGGCCATTTCTCCTTCTAAAAAACAGCAGACAGGGTGGTGCCTGTGGCTCAAAGGAGTAAGGCGCTGGCCCCATATATTGGAGGTGGTGGGTTCTAACCCATTCCTGGCCAAAAACTACAAAAAACAAGAACAAACAAACAAACAAAAAAACAGTGTACAACTATGTACATTATGCACAATGCTCAAAGATTTCCCTTCACAATGTTCTTCAGTGATGTCCCAGGAAGGGGCAGCAGTGCTACAGCCACCCACTTGTGGGTGGTGCCTGCATGTTGTGAAGAACTACCTTAAACCAAACCCGAGTCTACTCCTCTGTCACCTGCTCACAGGGTACTCTGATGAGGCCGTGCAGCAGGAACAGGAAGCATGGATATTTGGGCCACTTCTTCATTTCTACCTGTGGCTTCACAGCCTGCCCAGGCTTGATCATATATATATCACTGCCAGTTGATGATGATGTCCCACTGCTGTGCACACTGACTTTATGGCTTGGGGGGGGGGGTGTCAGGTACACTCAGTTTCTGATGGGCGGCTCAGGTCACATGGCAACTTAATGGCCCATGGTCAAGCATACAGTTTGTATTAATACCCAACAGGAGGCCAGGAACTGTCTCTTAAAAAGGGGATAGCTGTCTGTAGATTATGACATGGTCTTACTCCAAGATCCTAAGGCCTCTGCGGCCATTCACCCATCAGGGCCTGCCAGAGGCTCCAAACAACATCCCGATCTGTCATTGACACCTTAAGTACCAATGGATTTACTGGATCATATGGCCAAAGTGTAGCAGAGCAACTCAATCAGCAGCCTGGGCCTATCACAGAGTATGTTCCTGTTCTGGATCTCACTAAAAACTAGCAGTTTTTTGAGTCAACTCAGTAGATGAGCTGGAGTAACAAACCCAAATGAAGAATATGTTACTTCCAAACTCCAAATAGGCTCACTAGGTGCTATACCTACTTCTTGGTTGTGAGTGCAACAATTCATTCTTTACCTTAGAAGGAAGATCCTGACATGCTCAAGCCACTGGAGGCCTAGAAATTTCACTGAGATCCCTGAATTTTAGTTAGATTTATTCCACACCTTCTGACCAACAAATGTCGTACCATTAAATCCAGATTAATTGTTACTTCTTTCTCACTGGTTTCAATTAGCATGCTGTCATCACTGTAATAGCCCAGTGTGACATCTGGTGGAGGGGAAGGCTATCAAGATCTCTGCAAACTAAATGGTGACATAGGAGAACCCATATATCCCTGTGGTAGGACAGTGAAGTATACTGCTGGCTTTGCCTGCTGAAAGCAAAGTGCCTTTGCTGGGCCTTATGGACAGGGATGGAGAAAAAGGTACTTGCCAGATCAACAGTTGCATACCAGGTACCACGAGATGTGTTAATTTCCTCAAGCAGTAAAACTGCACCTGGTACAGATGCTGCAATTGGTGTCATATAGAGAACCACAATAAAGAATGATAAAGAATGATAGTAAATGAATTATAATCACTGCATATTAATTCATGAGCCTATATTGATGTAAATAACTAAATGAAAAATACATAAATGGAGATTGTAAAGTTCTTCCTTATAGCATAAATAATGCCAAACTAATTAATATAAAGACAACAACAATATTAGAAAACCATCAGGGAATGTTAAACCCAGTGGGTAAAGTTTCATGAAAAATGGGATAC